GTGGTCGTTATGGGAATTATCGAAAGTAATACTTATTTTCTTGTTACGATAGTGTTATGTTAAGGATGTTGGAAGAAGAATTACTTGGTAGTGGCTTGATGGTCCGGTGGGATGATAGGTTTGAACTGTTGATTTGGATGAGTGGCAGTGAAGGTGTTATGGTGTGATGTTTAGAGATGATGAGCAGAACGGTTTAAGGTATGATCCAAATGTGGTTCGGGGATTATGAATTATTTGTTGTATATTGTCAGGTAGGTGATGGGGTTGTGCGCCAGTTGAGGCGATTGTGGTCAGCTTAGTCTTTAGAACCAGATGAAGAGGTGTTGCCATGTAGACATTTTTTTCTTTTGAAGAGTCAGTGGGTTGTTGTGACTGAGGTCGCAGGTCTTGTGTGCATGGTGACTGAGGTAGTGTCGCCTGGGTAGGTAGTGATGGAACAGGTGGTAAAATGTCATTGGCATAAGGGTTGTCATTTGGGAGTGACGGGATGCAGTGTCCAATAGGCTGTGATTGTTTCTAGTGTTAGTGTGACGTGAACGTCGGTGCTCTTCTTTGATTGGTTTTGGTTAGCAGGGGTATTGCGGTGTATCGTATGCGAGGTTTCTATGTTGATAGTGTATGATGAACCGTTAGTGGCAAGGTCACCTAGAATTGAGTTCGTAGTTCCGTACGAGTATCCATTTGGTTCTTCTCTTTGTGTGTAAGGAGTTAGTTCATCTCAGGTGAGATTGGATGTCCATGGTTGGACAATTGGTGTGTAGCGTGTGATAAGGTGTCGGGTGCATTCAGGTGCAAGTCGTCAGTCTCTTGTGAGAGTGGGGTTTGTTACCTTTTCCGTTTGTTCCGTTTGTTCTAGTCCTAGCAAGGATGTCGTTTGTCGTGAGCCTTGTTCTCCATTTAGGAGTTGTGCGCGTCCGTGGGTGAACGGACCTATGTGTGTAGGGATGGTAAAGGGGCGGTTTGGGCAGGTTTTGCATTCCCCATCCCCGTCCCTGTTTAATTTTGGTACCCCCAAAACTGCCCCATAACCGGTTCATTTTTTCCCTCTAATCCCCATAACCGCCCCCGTCCCCGCCCTATAACCGATTAGGGCAAATCATTCAGATCTGAACTTGCCCTTTCTCTCGCTCTCTCTCTCTCTATCTGCAACTGTAAACTACAAAATCTACAAGAATTAAAAGGTCAAAACCCATATATTTCAGCCTCCCTAATCGCCTCTATCTCTATTCTCATTCTCAGCTCTGAACTTGCATTCTTTCTCTCTCTCTCTCTGCAACTGCAAACTATAAAATCTACAAGAATCGGCCCGGAGAAGAGATTGGCCCGGAGCTGCTCAAAGCAATTACAGAGTCAAAGATCTCAATCCCAATTTTCTCCAAAACGTATGCTTCGAGCAAATGGTGCCTCTAAGAGCTTGCCCAGATGGTGGAGTGCAGGAGAATTAAAAGGCAAGTTCAGAGAATGCAACCAATCTGATTCGGAAGTTACAAAACTATTGGTTGCATTCAACAATCCAATTCCAAATATATATGAATAGAAAGAAATGAAGGCAATGAAATAAATAAGCTTTTTCCCCTTTTCTGGGTAAGTAGAGAAAATAAGAAAATGCATTTTCACATATATTCAATGATGGGTTTGAGAGAGAGCTTTGAGTTACACGGCCGCCTCAATAGCAAAATGGAAGTGAAGTGTAGGGTTTCCATTATATATATATAGAGAGAGAGAGAGTAAAGGTTAATTTGGTAAATATATTAACAAGGGTAGATAAATTAGTAATTTAACATGTTAAACGGGGCGGTTGCGGGGGCGGTTGCGGGGGCGGGTTTGGGGCTGGGATCTTAGTCCCCCGCCCCCACCCCGCAACCGACCGGCCCGCCCCGCAACCGACCGGTTTTTTTTTTTAACCCCCATCCCCACCCCATTTAAGTAAACGGTTCTCCAAACCCGCTTTAAATGGGCCGGGGGCAGAGCGGTTCCCCACCGGGTTGGGGATTTTTGCCACCCCTATGTGTGTGGTTTGTTATGTTGTTTGATTTCATCAGTAAAGGTTTGGTTGGTTTGGTCGACTCACTTCTACGAAGGGAGATAAAGTCATTGGTTCTTAGTGTTGCTTGTTTTGAGAGTGGTTTGATTATGTAGAGTAAACTGGTTTACATCTCCAGTATAGTATGATCCCGTTCTCTTGTTTTCTATTCTATACGTGGATTCACGAGGTCATAAGAAGTATGTCTTAGACACTTCCTACTGAGCTTATGTTTACCCCTTTATTATTAACATTTTTCAGGACACGGAAGGGAAGTAGCGAAGACACTCCTCCATAAGGTTTGATGGGTTAGTAGACCGTTTTGACATATTTTGTAGTTATAATCTCATTTTATTACTATTATTTATTTATTTATTTATTATTATTATCTTATAAACCCTTGGATGACACGTATATAATGTATTGACATAAGAAAGGACGGTAGTGCCCTTAGTTGACCTCGGGTTCAGGTAAGGACTCGGTTAGCGATTCGGACCCTCGGGTTCGGGTAGTTACAAGCTATTATGCGATTCATGATATCTGATGCAGCTGCTTGTATGTATATATGACATTGGAATTGGCAGAACCAGGAAATGAACATATTGCTTTGTTGTAACTTGTAAATGGAGTTGATTTAGTTCCTATATTATTGGCTGCTTCAGCAGAAACTCATGTGTTGATTTCTGTATCTCCGACACTGTTATTTTAAATTTCTTGTGCTTTTATTTCTGTTTGAGAATGTTGTGTAATTTTTTTTTCTTTTTTTTCATAAGCAGGTATTATATTAATCGCAAAAGATATTATAATCAGTACATTGGAGAAAGAAGGAACCCAACCCTCGAAAAACAGAGAAAAGTAAAATAGAGAAGTACCGTTTACCATTTCCAGCAATTTTTTCTTTTTTTCATTAGCAGGTATTGTATTAATCTCAAAACAATGTTGTGTAAATTTCCTGGATAGTTTTTTATTTTTATATATTTTGTAATTTTATTGCAGTAAGCACATAGGACCAAATATATGTTGTACTGGAGTAATAATTGTGTTATGCCTAGTGATTTTTAATCAAATATAGATGATCAATCTTTTCTTTCGCCGTTTTGTTATTAGTTTTAATAATACCTCTACTTTTCACTTCTATCTGATTATTACAGTGAAGTATTAAACTACATTATTCTCCAAACGAACCACACAAGCAAAAGATTCATTTTTGTCTTACCAAAAATAAAATAAAAAAAAACCTTTTTCCCTTTTTATTAGATGCTGACAAAATCACTTGTTCACTTTATCCTAGAATCTTTCTTGCACACTCCATAGTCTTGTCTCTATTCTTTTTCCTTTACCAATAAGAAGATCATAGATTATAACTTATATATACATTGCCAGTTCTCGGAGTTCTTATAATTTGAAGAATTAGAACACAAAACTGTAGTTGAAACTGTTATTACAATGGAAACTCCAGACAATGTTGTGGTTTCATACAAGTCAGCTGTGAAGATAATTTTACAATGGGATATAAGCGCTGCAAGAGGACAAATGATGTGTGATGGAGAAGATCACAATGAGATAAATCAGTACTTGCGGGCCGTTGATGAGATCCACTGCTGGATGGAATTGATGACTGTGTCTGATGATGAGAAGAGCAAGGCCAACAGTGTGCTTGAGAAAGCCATGACCTGGGTCGAGGAGGAGTTCGTCTACATTTTGACCGGGATTGGCAACCTCAGTCTGAGCTATTCGACTTGTTCGAGTTCAATAAACTATGGATTATTTAGATTATGATATTGTGCCATATGAAGAAAAAATCAATGATCTCCAGAGTATTGCTGAAAGGATGCACACTGTTCAGTGTCTTCAGGTTTACAGCAGAGTAAGGAAGGATATAGTGGACATGTGTTTTCAACGTCTTGGCATCGAGAAATTGAGCACTGAAGATCTCTGGAGGTTGGAGTGGCAAGTGTTGGAGGTGAAGATCAAACAGTGGATACGTGACAGCTTGACTAGGTATGTGATGGACTATACCATTCGGGTCTTTGAGTACAAGCAATCTTTAACTTCGTTAATTGTATCTAAGCCATCAACATATTTGAAATATTGGGTTGATGAGGCGGTTATTGATATGGACTCTATAAAAGTTGAGGGGCGAACTCCGTTGGCACTCCATTTAATTTGGATCATTCAGAGTTTAGTATGCAAATTGATTTTCAAGTCCAAACACTACAATGATGTTGACTTGGCTCTTTCGTTCGTGATGGACAATGTTTTTTACATTTTTCAGAGAATTATAGGCTGTCCAGAATTGAGGATGATGATTGGCTATATGATATGTTAAACAAATTAATAGAACTTCTTGTTAAGAGTTTAATTTGAATAAATCTCTATTTGTCCTAGTCTTTAGGAGTCTGTTGGTTTATCTAGTCTTTAGGAGTATCCTAGTAGTGATGCAAGTCTGGTTCAGATATGCGGAACCATTTCCATATTTTGTGTTCAGTTTGTTATTTTACACCTCTATTTAATTAGGTGAATGCAATAAGAAAAATATAGCAATTTCCATTCTTTATCCTCTCTAATATTTATCTTCTCAGTTCTATATTGTGGTATCAGAGCCATAAGTTCAAAAGAGTGTAGTGGGTCTTAGTAGAGCAGCAGCCTCTCTCTACTCACTCTTGTGTTGCAGCAGCAATCACTAATGGCATCTAAAAATTTCGTGCAACCAGCTATACCTCGCTTTGATGGTCACTATGACCATTGGAGTATGTTGATGGAGAATTTCCTGAGATCCAAAGAATATTGGCATCTTGTGGAAATTGGTGTTGCTAAACCGTCGAGTGGAGCAGCGTTGACGGAAGCACAGAAAGCGAAGCTGGAAGAATAAAAAGTGAAGGATCTTAAAGTGAAGAATTATCTATTCCAAGCAATTGATCGTTCGATCCTAGAAACTATTCTCTCGAAAGATACTTCCAAGCAAATTTGGGATTCGATGAAAAAGAAGTATCAAGGCAATGCAAGGGTGAAACGGGCACACCTTCAAGCACTTCGCACTGACTTTGAAGCACTTCATATGAAGCCGGGAGAGTTCCTTTCTAACTATTTCTCAAGAATGATGGCGATTGCAAACAAGATGCGTATCCATGGTGAAAAGATGGAAGATATTACAATAATCGAAAAAATTCTTCTATCGATGACCTCAAAATTTAATTATGTCATTTGTTCTATTGAGGAATCGAGTGATATTGATGCACTTTCAATTGATGAACTACAGAGTTCACTATTGGTTCATGAGCAAAGAATCAATCATGATGTCAAAGAGGAGCAAGCATTGCAGGTCACAACCAATAATCACTCTTTAACATCAAGAGGAAGAGGCCGAGGCTGAGGACGAGGAAGAGGTAGAGGTAGTAGAGATGGCAGACTCACACATTACAAATCAGAAGATCACCATGTTTTTTATTCCCAAAGCAGAGGCAGAGAGCGTGATAATCAGCATTCATTTGATCAAGAATCAAAGCCATTTGATAAATCAAATGTCAAGTGCTACAGATGTCATAGGTATGGCCATTATCGTAATGAATGTCGAACAAAATTACAAAAAGAAATTGGTGAAAAATCAATTTTTGTAGAGAAGGAAGATGAAGTCACTCTTCTGATGGCGTGTCATACCATGGAAAAACACACACCATAACTTGTGGTATTTAGACACAGGTTCCAGTAATCATATGTGTGGTGACAAGTCAGTATTTTCTGATTTGGATGAATCCTTTCGAGGTATGGTGAAATTTGGAGATAACTCAAAAGTCTCTGTCATGGGAAAAGGTAATGTCAAAATCCGGACCAAAGAAAACATTTTTCAGACAATTTCTAGTGTTTTCTATGTTCCAGATTTGAAGAGCAATTTGCTTAGTATGGGGCAGCTACAAGAGAAGGGATATGGGATCGTCATTAAAGCAGGAACGTGCATATCGTCATTAAAGCAGGAACGCGTCGAATTCAAGATCCAAATAAGGGTCTAATTGCTCAGGTTAACATGACGGTAAATCGGATGTTTCTGATATATATCCAGAATGCTTTTTATTCTTGCTTCTCTTCTAAGGTGAAAGATTCAGCATAGCTATGGCATTTTCGCTATAGGCATCTGAACTTCACTGGATTGAAGACTCTATATCAGAAAAATATGGTGATGGGCCTTCCACATATTGATATTCCTTCACAAGTTTGTGAAGAATGTGTTGTTAGCAAGCAACGTCGTGATCATTTTCCGAAAAGGAAAGCATGGAGAGCAAAAAGGACTTTGGAGTTAGTCCATTCAGATATTTGTGGTCCTATAAATCCAACATCTAATGGTAACAAGAGGTATTTTATTACGTTCATTGACGATTATAGTCGCAAAACGTGGGTTTATTTTTTATAGGACAAATCTAAAGTTTTTTCAATATTAAAAAATTATAAGGCTCTTGTTGAGAAAGAAGTTAGGAGAGCTATCAAAACTCTTCGAACAGATCGTGGTGGAGAATACACCTCACGAGAATTTGCAAATTTCTATGAGATGCATGGCATTAAAAGGCAACTTACAATAGCCTACACACCACAGCAGAATGGCGTATCCGAGAGGAAAAATCGTACAATCTTAAATATGGTGCGGAGCATGTTGACTAGGAGAAATGTCCCAAATAATTTCTGGCTTGAGGCAGTGAATTGGAGTATTCATATATTGATTAGGAGTCCCACATTAGCTGTCCAAAACATGACACCTGAAGAAGCATAGGCTGGATGCACACCAGCCATCGACTATTTCAAAATTTTCGGGTGCATAGCGTATGCTCATATTCCAGATGAAAAGAGGAAGAAGCTCGATGACAAAGGAGAAAAATGTATCTTTCTCAGTGTTAGTGAACATTCAAAGGCCTATAAATTATACAATCCCATCACCAAGAAGATCGTCATCAGTAGAGATGTGGTATTTGATGAAGAAAGAACATGGACATGGGCGGTTAGTACTTCAGGGCAGCCCATTCCAGTCAATTTTGATGTTAAAAATGAAGAAAGTTAGTCCTCTCCTTCAGAGCAACAGTCCTCTCCTACAGAACAGCAACAAATTCCATCTTCTCCTCATTTATCAACATCTTCATCTGGAAGAGATCAACCTACATTATCACACTAGTCACGACCTCAACGTTCTAAGAGTTTACCAGCATGGATGTAAGATTATGAGGTAATTGGGATTAATCAATTTAATGACCCCATTACCCATTATGCTCTATTTTCAGATTGTGATCCCGTTACATTCCAAGATGCTATCAAAGACCCAAAATGGCAGAAGGCAATGGATGAGGAGATTACATCCATTGAGAGAAATAACACTTGGGAATTGACAAATCTTCCCAAAAGGCAAAAGTCAATTGGGGTCAAGTGGATCTACAAAACAAAGCTGAATGGGGAAGGAAAGTTGACAAGTACAAAGTTCGCCAAGTTGCAAAAGGATATAAGCAAGAATTTGGCGTCGACTACAAAGAGGTTTTTGCTCTAGTTGCAAGACTTGATACTGGTGTTCGTCACGCACCAAAGCTTAAAAGATGTGCAAAAGACAGTGAATGTGCAATGTAGCCAAGTTTTACATTTATAAATGCCACTACTACCATTAAATAAAAATATAGCAAGGGTAAGTAGGGATCGTCCCAAGGGATTGAAGGGCTACTAGTAATGGAACAATGCTTAGAGTTAGTAGGTCGAGTAATTAAGGTTAGGTTGTTTGGTTGATTAAACTACAATTAAGATTGAACAAGATCAATATAAAACAAGTAATTAAAGGATGGAGAAAATAAGAGAGAGAGATCTTCGGATTTAGAAATCACCACTAAGCATCACCTTTCTATACACTCAATTCACAATTAATGAGGGGCAAATTATATGTTGCAACAATAGTGAGTGTGCGTGGTTGTTTTTACAAGCATAGATGACCAATTAAGTATATATTGTCTAAACAACACAATGGATAGCACAATACATCAAACTAAGTCAGTAATCCTTCTTTAAGCTCACAATCCAAACACATCACATAATTTGAGAAATATACTACTTGCATTCATAAGTATGGAATATCAAACAACAAGCATAGATTGTCCACTCATTTAACAACTAAGGTAGCTACACTACATCTAAGCTAATGACATGGAAATTACACTAATTAGACTAAGGGAGAGGCACAATCCATCAAGAAATGAGTATGAACCATCAAATAAACCATAAGAACATTCTATTAAGCACTATGTCTTGACAATCTCTAGATCTATAGCATCAACACACATAGATATGCATCAACAACACAAGAGATAAAGATAAACACATGAACATCTATTCTAGCATACATAAACATATGGATAGAATGAAATGATCAATTAGAAGAATTAAACCGCACAAATCATTGAATAAACAAGATCTATGTATATAAATATGTCAAAACATGTATTACAACACAAATCCCCTAAAAAATACATAAATCAAGGTAAAGAAAGCATGCTTAGGGCTAACTCTAGCCCCAAGAAGATGTCTAGCCATTCATGAATAGTGTCCTCTAACCCTCAAGGACTATCTCCATGATAGAAGTGATCTTCTTCTTGAGGAAGATGGAAAACCTCTCAAGAATGTCTCTAGCCTCCTCTTCTCTTTTCTTCCTTTCTAAGAATTGTATATAAGACTATCAAAAACTATCTCTCTAAGCATATGTTTAAGCCTATGTGTAAAAGTGGCTCATATTCCTTATATAGGTAGCTTAAATGTCACACCCAATGGTCTAGACTTGTACACAAGGGATCCTCCAATGATTGCACACTGAGGCAACTTTTAATGAGCTGGAGATATATATATTTTTTTATTTGAGAGGATTCGATCGATCGAACCTGTGCTGTGATTGATCAAACATGGCTGAGATCTATCAAACTTTGGCTGGATCGATCGTCTAATGGCGGCACGTTTTTGGATAAGGACAGATCTGAGATATTTTGGGGAATAAGACAAATTTGGTAGGTAGGATGGTACAATAGGATAAGATGGAATCTTTTCGATCGGTCTGAGAAAAGTTGGATCGATTGAACTTTGTGGGATCTTTGGACAAGGACAAAAGAGCTTGTATCCATCTTGGAGAGTCTAGATCGATGAACTTTCGATCGATTGAAGTGTCATTGTGATCGATCGAACCTGTTGAATTTCCACACTTTGCTTCAATCTGCTTTCACTTTGCTCATTTCTTCCATCCAGCTTGAGTTAGCTTCTTTTAAGCTCTTATTTGGCTAAATTAGCTTATTTTAGGGATAAGCACCTAAAAAGGGCAATAACACGAAATTAGTCTAAAACGGGAAAGTAAGATAGATAAAGGTCCTAGAATACCTAAGCTTAAGGGGTTTAAATGCGCACTTTTCAGCGCTCATCATACCCCCAAACTTAAATATTGCTAGTCCTTAGCAATGAACTACAGAGTAAAGGAATGAAATGAACAACTATACAGGTATGAACTAAAAAGCAATAAATGGATAACGCCACTTTCGTAGGGAACAAGATTTCATTTAGCGCATGCAACAAGCCTTTTAAACCTCTAGGTTACCCCTAGTGGACGAGTAAAGTGTCATGAGGTTTTCCAGAAATGATACCCACAAACATTAAGCTCATTCTCACAAAAGAGGCACCAATATTGCAAACAAGCATTGGGAGAAAACTACCTTAAGTATGCAATTTTTAAACCATTTCCAAGCAATCCCCTAAAATTTCAACATCAAGCAAGCAAATATGGTCCTCCACACATCAAGAAAATGATCATGCAAATCAAAACAACTCTAGAATCCTTTTTGAGTGGACCAGCATCAAGTGTGTTGATATTTAAGCCAACTAAAGAAATGATCACATCCTTACACTCAAACTATCACACAAATCTAGTACCAATCATCAAGATAAAGAGTGGACATTTTATTAAAGCTTTATTGTTCTAGGTGCGCTTATTCTTTTCCCTCGATTCTTTTTTTTTTTTTTTTTTTTTTTTTTTTTTTGAATCCTAAGGATTAAAGATGGAAGCATAGTGCATTGTGTTGATCTATTAAACTTTCTAGTGATCCATGAGGTCGAGCGTTAGATCAATGACTCCCAAATCAGACGGCTTTAGGGCACTAAGTGTTGAAACACCCCTAAGGACTTACAAGCTCAAATCAACTAGGCTACAAATCAAAACAACTTCCATCTAATCATTTCCTACTTCTTACCTTTTGGGAAAAGTCCTCACCTTTTGGCAACTTACAGCAGCCTACACACCACAACAGAATAGCGTGTTCGAGAGGAAAAATCGTACAATCTTAAATATGGTGCGAAGCATGTTGACTAGGAGAAGTATCCTGAATAATTTCTAGCATGAGGCAATGAATTAGAGTATTCATATATTAAATAAGAGTCCCACATTAGCTGTCCAAAACATGACACCTGAAGAAGCATGGGCTGGACGCACACCAGCCATCGACCACTTCAGAATTTTCGGGTGCATAGCGTATGCTCATATTCCAGATGAAAAGAGGAAGAAGCTCGATGACAAAGGAGAAAAATGTATCTTTCTCGGTGTTAGTGAACATTCAAAGGCCTATAAATTATACAATCCCATCACCAAGAAGATCGTCATCAGTAGAGATGTGGTATTTAATGAAAAAAGAACATGGACATGGGCTGTTAATACTTTAGGGCAGCCCATTCCAGTCAATTTTGATGTTGAAAATGAAGAAAGTCAGTCCTCTCCTTCAGAGCAACAGTCCTCTCCTACAGAACAGTAACAAATTCCATCTTCTCCTCATTTATCAACATCTTCATCCGGAGGAGATCAACCTACATTGTCACACTAGTCACGACCTCAACGTTCTAAGAGTTTACCAGCATGGATGCAAGATTATGAGGTAATTGGGATTAATCAATTTAATGACCCCATTACCCATTATGCTCTATTTTCAAATTGTGATCCCGTTACATTCCAAGATGCTATCAAAGACCCAAAATGGCAAAAGGCAATGGATGAGGAGATTGCATCCATTGAGAGAAATAACACTTGGGAATTGACAAATCTTCCCAAAGGGCAAAAGTCAATTGGGGTCAAGTGGATCTACAAAACAAAGCTGAATAGGGAAGGAAAAGTTGACAAGTACAAAGTTTGCCAAGTTGCAAAAGGATATAAGCAAGAATTTGGCGTCGACTACAAAGAGGTTTTTGCTCTAGTTGCAAGACTTGATACTGGTGTTCGTCATGCACCAAAGCTTAAAAGATGTGCAAAAGACAGTGAATGTGCAATGTAGCCAAGTTTTACATTTATAAATGCCACTACTACCATTAAATAAAAATATAGCAAGGGTAAGTAGGGATCGTCCCAAGGGATTGAAGGGCTACTAGTAATAGAACAATGCTTAGAGTTAAACGCTATCACACCCAAACACGCAGGTATCCCCCGCTACAAAACTCGCAGGTATCCCCCGCTACACAGTCACAGGTAACCCCCGTTACTGTACCAGACTCACAGGTATCCCCCGTTACCATACGACACAATGTACTGACAACAACATGACAAGATGCACATATGATAATGGGACATAACTCCCAGGTAACTATGCAATATGACCGACAAACTACCGTACAACTCGACATGACTCACAAACAACAATACAACACGACTCACAGGTGACTATGCAACACAACATGACTCACAGGTAGCCCCCGTTATAATATGACACAACTCACAGGTATCCCCCGTTACAACACATGCCGGCTTACAGGTGTCCCCCGTTACAACCGACACGACTCACAGGTATCTCCCGTTACAAAACTCATAGGTAACCCCCATTACATCTAGCACAACTGTGCATAAGCAACTGCCTAATCTCACAGGTATCCCCCGTTACACAAAAATCAATTACAATAATATCTCATCTCCTCTATAGACAATCCTTGTTCATGTGGCCCGACTGACCACACCGAAAACAAACTCCGGAACTAAGTCTATCAAGAGGACATTCCGCCTTGTAGTGTCCTGGCTGCTTATAGTGATAACACACCACACTCCTCTAGAAGATTCTGAAGAAGCACCAACAATAGTAGTAGCACCTGTCTTCCACTGCTCTCGAGAAAACAATGAAACATCCCTATGCCTCTTCCTGTCCTGACTCCTAGAAAAGTACCCATATTCGTACCTCGTTCCTAAGAGCCCACAGTATCACTCTTCTCTTGCCAATCCTTAGCTTCTGCTTCTACCATCAGTGCTCTCGTGACCGCTTCTGAATATTCCTTTAATCCCAAAAGTGTCACCCCCGGCTTAATAGAACGATTTAGGCCATATACAAAATGCCATGTCTTCTCCTCCTCGTTCCCTAACACATCCGTAGCGAAACGTGAGAGAGAAGTGAACTTATTCTTATACTCTGTTACTAATATGTCACCTTACTTGAGACTATCAAACTACGTCCTCAATTCCCGTCTCTTAGTATACGGGAAATACTTTTCAAAGAAAAGACTATT